ATCATTAGATCTCTAGCCTCATTTATTTCACCAAGTTTATACTTTCTGACTACAAATACTTCTGTCTTGTTTCTAACTTTGTAATCCCAGTCACTAATTATTATAAATGCATCCTTATTGCAAGTTTGGTCAATTCTGGACTGCAGATAATTGGTAGAATCACCAGTTTCTTCCTCTTTAGTTTTAGCTATTGGTGCATATATTTGAATAATAGTCATATTAATAGTTTCCTATGCATAGAAACATCAGGGAAGACCAGTCTTGGCCAGGGCACACCTTAGTCTTTATAATGACATTGTTGCTCTCTAGCACTCTGGCGAGATCCTTGACAACATATTTCCCCAATGTAATTACTCTTTTGATTTCTTCACCGCTGGTGCCAAGGGAGCTCATTGTGAATCCAAGCAAAATGAAATTAACAAATTCAATCTATTCTCCATCTATTATGATGCTCCTATTGACCTTGTAATTAGGAATTTTGTTTTCTTGATATTGAGATGCAATCCACATTGAATTCTGTAGTCCTTGATCTTCTCCAGTAAGTACCTCAAATCCTCCTTAGTTTCAGTCAGCAGTTATATGTGTAATGCACGTTGTTGATGAGTCTTCCTCCAATCCTGATGCCATATTCTTCTTCGTAAAGTCCATCAATACTCTCACATGATCTGTTGAGCATATAAATCGAAAAGATACGAAGGAAGTATACTTGATGCTCTACGTAAGAAGGAAGAAGGTGCACCCAAAGTTACACAATTTGAATTCACCAGTTGCTCCATGAGGGAAGTAAGGGCAATCACCTTCAAAGAGATTAACTGCCTCTGAAAAACCTGTTGGAGGACCAGCTATGGATTAGTTCTGACTCCATGGCACTCAATAACAACAGCATTATTAGTGATGTGGAACTCATTCTCCCAATACAACAAACTGATAGGTGTTATACCTCTAACAGCAAATCATGGCACAAGGCCCATTTGAGACCAGTTGCATTGTAGTGGCATAGGATCCTGGAGCATTCTGTCTGAGGCTCGTCCTAGCATGGCAGGTGAGAATCGTGGATGTGGGAATTGTGGTATTGTTTGTAGCTTGACTGGATCTTCAATGTTGGTGACCTGCCTCAAGGCTTCAGAGTTACTTTTAAAATAAAAAGTCAAGTTAGTGTAATGATAATATTTTGAGCATTTAATGAGTCTGTAAAAGGAATTTAAAAAATGAATAAAATGCACTTCATTTCCCTAAAGTTCTAGCAAGTTTAATAAATTAACATTAAAAAATAAAATAACAAATGATGTCAGAAAGTACAAATTTCAACCAAGAATTTTAAAAGAGTGAAAATTTGCAATTAAAAAGACCAAGGGAAACTCTCTGAAGGAAATGGAAATTTTATTTTAACTATCGCAAAAATTAGTATAGTTCTGAAAAATACAAATTATAAAACAAGTAAAAGAGATGAAGGAAAAAATTCATACAACTATTGCTTATTTGAGTTGGTATTTGAACAGAGGGATAAACTGAATATATGGAGAAAGAAAAACAATTTAATTTTGTATCTGCTTTACATATATTTCTTTTTTTAAATTTTTTTATTAAGTTTAATGAAAATTTACAGAGACTTTGGATTTCCATTCATTTATTGTTATATCCATATATTTCTATAAAGTATTCATCTTCAATGCATAAATCTGGTACGTTATATATTCTGTCTGTAAATAGAGATTAATTTATACTTAGTTCAATGGTAAATTAAGACATAATAAAAGATCTGGATGGAAGAAGGGACTAGTTAAGCATTATTTAAATATTGAAGTAAGCAACTTATTTGCCTTTAAGTAAAAACCAAACCATAACAACTAATTTCTACAAAATTGAATTGCTTTATATAGATTTTTTAGCTTTGATCTTAAAGAAAGATCATATATGGCTATATGCATTTGAATTATGAAACTTAAGTTTAAAAGTCACAGAGTAGAAATTTTTGCACCACCTAAAGAAATCAAGAAGTAATTAGAAAGCAATGATATTGGTGATACAAGTCCTTTGAAGGGTTGGAGAACTGAGAGTAAGACACACATAGGAATAGATGACAAAACATTGCTTGCTGAAACTGAAGAAAACCTAAAGCACTTGCTACAAAAGGTCAGAGATTGTAGTCTGGAATATGGATTGAAACTCAACACCAAGAACACAAAGATTCTCACCAGTGGGCCAATTGTAAGCACCATATTAGATGGAGAAGAGGTTGAGGTTGCTAACAATTATAGCTTGCCCAGTCAGATCCATAATCAACGCTCTGAACACTAGCTGTCAGGAAGTCCGAAGACGGATGACATTGGGAAAATATGCTGTCATGGACCTTTCCAGAGAGCTGAAGAGCAACGATGTCAGTCTAGATAAAAAGGTGTATTTCCAAATTACTTGTTATGTTTCAGAAAGATAGACAATGACTAAGGATGACAGACAAGAATAAATGCCTTCAAGTTGTGGTGCTGGAGAAGAGTCTTACCCATACCATGGACTTCCAAGAAAACAAATAGGTCTGTCTTGGAGAAGGTGAAATCAAGTTTCTTCTTGGAGGCTAGGATTTTGAAGTTCTGCTTCACTTACTTTGGGCACATGGCCAGGAGACATAAGTCCTTGGAGAAGGATATCATGCTCGGAATTGTAGATAGACAGAGCAGGAGAGGGAGACCCTAGATGAGATGAATTGATACAGTAACTGAGGCAATGGGGGTTGGTGTGTTCAAATTAATGAGACTGGCTCAGGGCAGGGAAGGGTTCAGGGCTGCTGTACATAGGGTCATTGTAGGTGACTAAATGGCACATAACATTAACATACTATGACAGTTTTTGAAGCAGGAGTGGCATCAAGTTGCTAAATAACATGCCTCTGAAAACTCTATGAACTTTCATAAAGGTCGATAGTTGTAGAGGGGCTTCAGGCCTTTTGTTCATAGAGTAACTATGAGTCGTGCTTGACTCAACGACAATCAACAACAACAACCACAAAGATTGTCTAATTAAGCCCATAGTCACTGTATTGTCCCCACTTTTCCCTAAGAATAATCTAAAAAATACCTGAGCATGTCTGAATTTTCATACTCTAAGTGGAACCATCTGCATACACATAACAAAAAGAAAGGGTAAACTAGCTTTGTGCCACAATGTTTTTTGAAAACAAAGAAAGAGAATGAGTTATCTTGAGAAGATTTTTAAAATTCATTCTTCTATAGAGTTGGTTTCAGTTCATAACAACCCTGGATCGAGTTTCCAGGAGCATTAAATCGTAACAGAACAGAATGCTCATCTTTCTCTCATGGAGCCAATGGTGGATGTGAACTTCTGATAAGGTTAGCAGTCCATCTAGTTATGGAATACAATAGCACCAGAAATAACATAATGCACCATGTTAAGCGTACACTACTTTTTTTTAATTTTTACAATGAACTTTTATAAATGTCAATAGTTACAGAAGAACTTCAGGCCTTTTGTTCCTAGGGTCACTATGAGGCATGGTCAACTGGAAGGCAATCAACAACAACAGTTTATTTACAAAATTTGAATACCTTATTTTACAGAACATATTTTCCCAATTTCCCTCAACACCCCCAACCGTCAAGTTGTACAACCACATGATTAATCCCTGACCCCCATGCATCCTCATCCTGATTCTCGTCTTGATAAAACACTCATTTATTCTGAATAAATTTTGACTCTAGTATCTAGGTATACATTAATGTAGCCAAAGGCATATATTATACTATTGCTTTTACCCACAATTTTTTTTTAATTTTAGTGTTTTCTAAATGAATTTGTTTAATTAAATATACTATGTAGAATTATCTGTGAAAATTTCTGTCAGAACGAACAAGGGAGAAGATACTTGGTTTCAAATAAACACATAAATACAGACTATAATTAAAATTTACATTCAAGACATCTATATAATACAATAGGATTTAACAAATATTTCATTTCTTTTTGAAAGTACATAATATTTTTTCCAATGCTTCCTACTATGTATAATAATATATAAGCTGCAAAATAAAAAATGAAAAAAAATCTAAAAACATTCAATATCATTCTCACTCTAACAGTCCTTCTCACACTTCAAATACCTCAAATCATTGATTGGAATAATGAATTCAAAGCAAGAAAGTACTTTATGCAGAGACTTCAGCTATTAAGGAACTTTTATGTGGGTTAGCATGCTTTCTGCTCCTCTGCCATCTGATTAGCTATCTTTTAAAGGAATATGGAATATGAAGCCATTATAAAATTGGTTAACTTCAGATGTAGAGAAATGCAATGCAGTCAGTGAAATATAAAATTGTAGATATTTAAAACTCTTAATATCGCTTTAAATTTTAATTTTAAGTACTGTGCATGCCATTAGTCATCCCATTAGGCAACCTTAATATCCTAATATACTTATATATGAAGAAAGGAGATCTGGTGGTATAGTCCCTATAGAGTTGTGCTGCTAATTAAAACAACAACAACAACAAATAACCCCAAAAAACATAATGCCTCTTTGGCAGTTAAAACACATCATAAAGACCACAGGAAAAAAAAAGGTAATCTTCCATGTGGCTAGGACAACCCACTAAGCCACTGGAGGGTCAGCTATTTACTTGAGGAGGTTTTTGTCTTTTAATATGTAGAAAGAAGTAAATTAATCAAAATGTCTAGCAATTTGGAATTAAGGTTAAATTGGGCAAACTAGTATTATTTTTAAAGTAATTAAGGTTCAGAAATATTAGTGTTACTCTAGGTCTTTTCTGGACTTAATAATTGAGAGAGTCTGCTTTTTGAATTGATTATCTTAATTGCAAATTTGTAAGTCGGCTGCCCTCTATACTTGAATCTCATGTCCTTTGTACTGTGACTAAATATATCTTCTTATATTTTTACCTCGAAGTCTTCTTTTCCTTTATGATAAAAGATATATTCCAAGTAATAAAATGCTAATCTTTAAGCTAACTACATTGTTGTTGTTTTTACAGGATTTTACATTTCTACTCCAACTGGACCAGGAGGGAGAAGGGAAAGAGTGAGACTTTTAAGTCTCCCTTTGGTCCTCACATTGGAGCCAGCCTGCCTTAGTTTCTGGTATGTTGTGGGAGCATGGTAACCATTTATTTAATTAATACCTTTGCAATTTAGTTACCAAAATGATGTTCAAAGCTTTAATATACATACCATAAATTTTCCAATTGTTAAAGTGACAAAATGTTGACTGTTAACTGACTTCTTTCTCCTTCTCCAATCCCTCTAATGCTCAAGGTTAAAGAAGGTATTTCAAAGACAATCAAGGGTTGAGAGCAGTAACTTACTTGACCACTGACTCAATGTTGGAGGTTTAAATGTTAAAATATTAAAGTTTTAAATGTTAGAGGTGCCTCAGAAGAAAAGCCTGGAAATCTAATTCTAAAAATTATCCACCGTTGAAAACCCTAGGACATTCCTAATGACATCCGTGGCAGTTGTTTTATATAAGTATCAAAAGTAGAGTTCAGATTATCTACAGCTACTTTTTTTTTTACCAACAAGCAGGTTCTGGAGAAGGCTGGAGAATTAGTACGATGTTTGTTTGAGGACTGTGGGACATGAAAACTAAGCAGATTTTATGTGATATACAACTTAAGAGCCAAAAGAAAAGTTATGATTATAAGTCAAATATAATAGTAAGGATATTGTTGTTGTTGTATACCTTCAAGGTGGAACCAACCCATAGCTGACCCTCCAGGGGATTTCCAGGGGCATTTAATCTCAGGGAGAAGATTGTCCATCTTTCTCCCACACAGCAGCTGGTGGCCTTGAACAGCATGTCTTCAGGATTACAGCACAGCTTCTTGCCCTTATTTTATTTATATGAATCAAGATTATTCTGAGACTTGGGCAGGATAAAATCACTGCATTCTAAGTAAGGGGCTCTGGTGACATAGTCCATAAAGAGTTCCACTGTTAACCCCAATACAATATCTCACTGGCAGTTTAAATCCAGAGCAGATTCCAGGGAGAAAGATAAGTCATTTCCTTTCTTGCAATTTGCAGTCTTCCACAGAAAACCTGCTGAAAATTCAGCTATAAGTCAGTTCTGATTCCATAGCAGTGAGTAAATGAATCACATTTAAGTAGTGAAACATGAAAAGAAACTTTATTGTATAAGATACTGACATAATTCAAAAAACGCATTACTCTTATAAGAAGTTAGACTTTAATTATTTTATATGTTTTTCTAATGATTTTAGTGTAATTTAAAGACAAAAGAATTCAGGGAACGTAACAATATTTACATCTATATTTTGCATTGGGAAAGTCAGCTGTCAGGGACCTCTCCAGAGTACTGAAGAGCAACGACATCAGGCTAGAGACTAAGATTCACCTGATCGGGCTATACTCTTTGCAATTGTGTGCTATGCATCAGAGAGCTGGACAATGACTAGGGATGACAGAAAGAGAATTGATACCTTTGAGCTGTGGTGCTGGAGAAGAGTCTTGAATATACCATGGACTGCTAGGAGAACAAACAGGTTTGTCCTGGAAAGGGTGAAGCCAAGCTGCTCCTTGGAGGCAAGGATTCTGAAGCGTAGTCTGACATACTTTGGGCGTATTGCAAGGAGGGACTGGTCCTTGGAGAGGGACATCATGTTTGGGAGGGTGGAGGGACAGCACAAAAGAGGAAGACGCTCAATGAGATGGATTGAATCAGTGATTGGGGTATTAGAAGTAGGTGTATTGGAGACAATGAGGTTGGCCCTGAATAAGGCAAGGTTTAGTTCACGTGTACATAGGGTTGCTATGAGTTACAAGTGACAGCACATAACAGCAACAACAACAAAAGACACAAGGTAGATAAATAAATTTCTAGAAAGATAACTTTTCCACTAGGATTAATGTTTTTTGTTATTACTGTTGTGTACTGTTGAGATTAAACGACACATAGCTGACCCTGTAGCAGGTTCTTAGTGCCAGTTAATCTCAGTCTCACAGGAGGTTTTCCATTCTTTCCCCACACATCAGCTGGTGGATTCCAGCCACAGTGCAGCTTCTTACCACCAGGCTACCAGAGCTCCCTAGAATGAATGTCTATATTGTATTTTCCAGGATTCTAGAATGCTATATTTTCTAACTTTTCTTAATGCACTTTTGGCTACCAAACTAAAATTGGACTAGAAATTTCCTCTCTAAAATGAGATCTTCTCTTACATACCAGAGAAAGTGTAGTCCTCAGTACTTCAAACCATCAATGAAATAAAATACAGAGAACATATGGTATGACATGTCCTTCCATTAATATAAAATGTTAGGAAAAAAATGAAAGTAATTATGTACTTAGTCATAAAATTATTTCACTTAGATATCACTCTATTGATATTTTTATTACATATATCCTCCTTTGAGATGTTTGATTAGGAAATAAATAATACAGTCATATTGTAAATTTATTCACAAACTGTTGTATTCATTACATAATACAGTAAATGGTTCAGGTAAGATTGAAGGAGTAGTTGTTGTTGTTGTTGTTGTTGTTAAGTGCCGTCCAGCCGTAGGTGACCCATAGCGACCCTATGAATGAAATTCCTCACCACTTGTGTGACTTTCATCCTTTCTCCAGATTCATAGGGTTTCTGGAGGCAAGCAAGCTATTACGGAAGTGAATACCACTCCTGCTTCTAAGCTTGTTTTAATTGGGAAGCTCCATCAAACATTGTCCACCATGGGTAACCATTAGTGCATTTGACACATCATTGTCACAGTGTTCAGCTTCATGGGAGTTTCCTCTAGAGGGTTCATCACTTACAGTATTTGCACACATATTCTATGAAATGGTTTGCATTTAGAAAACCATTTACAAGACTATAGTAGTTTTAATTTTATTTTTAAATATTGTATTGGCTTTTAGAGTAACATCTCAGAAATTCTATGTTACTGTTGGTCCTTCAACCTCTTAAAATTTCTCTTTAACACAATTGATTTCACATAGAAATTAATATCACGCATTGTTCACTCTTAAGAGCTTCTGCACATCTACACTAATCAGGTATAATTTTTTATATTTTTGTTTTATCTTGTTCTTTAGTTGCTCTTTGTATGAAGAGGAATCAAATAACTTTTTTATTTGCTTGTTTTCAAACCAGGTATTATATGTATGGTGAAAATGTTTATAAATTAAGCATTAATATCAGCACTGACCAAGATATGGAGAAGACAGTTTTCCAAAAAGAAGGAAACTATGGAGAAAACTGGAATTATGGACAAGTTACATTAAATGAAACAGTGGAATTTAAGGTTGGTAAAATAATTTGTGATTTATATTCAAGTGTTTACAATCTGTCTAGGACAATGGCTTATTTTCTGCTTTTGATGATCATATATTTGATAGCATACAAATAGTATGGCACAAGAAGTCTCATCTGGAGGCCTTCCAGCTGAGGCTAGAAGGGTCAGTGGCAGTAGATGTGTAGATGCAGCAGGGAGGTGGGCCTATCAGGCTCTCACCTATAGAGGCCTTCAGGCAAAGAGGCTGGAAGCCCTGTGAGTGGCTATTGTTTTCATGGTTTGCTGTTAGAAGTACTACAACTATTTGTTAATTCCCCAAAATGAGGGAATGCTTTGCATGTTGCTATTTATTTTGTAGCAACTGCCACATATGGGCTCTTGTGTGTTAGGAAAGGTGAGAATGACTCAGGGTAGAAGAGGGTTCAGATCTTTTGCTCATATGGTCACTATGAGTCATACCTGAAGTCACCTAACAATAACAGCAATGACTATTTTGTAGGTTAGATGTGTATGTGCTGGTTTATTTAGCATTTACTATTAACCAGTACATCACTTGGCTATCAGTTTGCTGTACTGGAGAAGCTTGTGGGATGTTATGGTACTTGAAGCTATGCCAATTGGTATTTCAAATACCAGCAAGGTCAACCATGCCAGACAAATTTTACCAGAGCTCCCAAAATTAAGACAGACTAAGGAGCAGGATTGGCCAACCACTTCTAAAGTAAAAGCCTTAGAAAATCCTATGACTGCAAGCACAAGGGTACCTATAGTATTAGAAGTAAAGCTCAGCTGGGAATGAGGGAGTTTTTCTTTTGCTTTAGCAAATGGGGGGGGGTAGGGGGGAGGGGTTTGTGCGGGGAGAAGGGTGCAACAAAGAATGAATGGAATCCCAAAATCTCTGTAGATGTTCATTGAAATGAAAAATAAACAACCTAAATTAAAAAAAAAA